TTTGTACAAAATTATGTTTTATTAAACAGCTGTGGAAGTACACGCGAGGCAGCAGGCACTGTACACACACACAAACACGCACAACCATGCACACACACACACGTTTTGACACAGGTCCCTGGGAAGAAGGATGTGTTTGTGTGTGTGTGCGTGCGTGTGTCCTAAACAGGGAACACAACGAAGCCCGGAAAGGGCCAGGAAAGGGGCTGCAGAGTCCTCGTGGCCGTCATCATGGTCTCCTTCCTGGGGGGGCGGGTTCAGAGAGGAGGGTGCTGGGCCGCACGCGCACATGCACCCCCTCCCCTCGCGCCGCCTAGGCGTAGAGATCCTCCCGGTCCGCCGAGTAGACCTCCCCCTCTTGCAGGAGGGCGAAGTTGAGGAAGTGGGAGGGCCGGTGCACCTCGTGGTAGAACTCCTTCGGGTTGGCCAGCTGCAGCTCGTACTTCATGTTGGGATCGTGGCGCACGCCTGCAGCAAGAAGGGGCCGGCGGATCAGCCCCCAGGACAGGGACGGGGGGGGAAAGCAGGGGGGCGCAAAAGCAACACAAGAGTGGGAGGTGGGGGGCTGCCGGTCACTCCGAGGGAGGGTCCCCCTCCGTCCATCAGGAGCACCAAACAGAGCCGGCAGGCGCTCTGCCTCCATCCCGGCTTCTGTGTCAGGAAAAGCGGCGCCATCCAGGGCGGACGGGCGCTCTTTCTTCCTCCCTCCCCAACCAACAGAAGGCAGGATGAGGCCCTTCTGGCCAGAAAGGTAGAGAAGGGGGCAAGAAGGCCAAGACGTGTCCCCACCCACCCCCAACTGGGCCTCCTCCCAGGCAGCATCGAACCAGGAAGAGCGAAAAAGAGAGAGAGAGGAAAGTGAAAGGCTGGCCAGGGAGAGGGAGGGGCTCTGCGGGGTGTGGAGACGGGGGGGGAGGCTCCCCCAGCCTTCCAGGCAAATAAAAATAAAGCCCCCCCCATACACACACACACACCCCCTCCCAGTGTGCCCACTCACCCATGAAGTTGTAGTTCCAGGAGCCTTGGGCCGGCACCATGAAGAAGCCCAGGAAGCGATCGGAGAGCAGCATCTGGACCCGCTCGTAGTGGGAGGGCAGGTAGCCCTTGGGGTTGTTGCCCTTATCTGTGTTCTGCCTGCCCCACTCGTAGCCGCTGGGGGTCAGCTTGTAGGCGGTCAGGGTGCAGGAGCCGGGGGTGAAGCTGAGAGAGGCGGGAAGGGCCACCATGAAAGACGCTGTGGGCCAGTGACGGCTGGGCTGGGCCACGTTCGCCTGGGGAGTGGCCGCATCGAGGAGGACACTGGCACGGGCCAATCCACCCCTGTCCTGCGTGGGGGGGGTCTGCCCTGTCCCCGCCGCAGGGGTCGGCCGCATCTGCCCTCTCCCCCCCCTTCTTCCTCCCTTCCCCTCCTGGACTGACCTGCAGGTGATGATGATGGTCTTCTCTCCGTCCCAGGACGGGTTCTCCGCCATGACTTTGGCGTGGGTGGTCACGTCCTGCGGGGAGAGCTGGGGGGACTCGTTGGGCTGCGTGTGGATCCACCCCAGAGGCTCCATCTCCTGCGCAGCAGAGGGAGAGGGGGGGAAAAGCTGGG